AATGTATGCCTGTGTATCAGTTCCTGTGTAGTGCTTATAGCCACCATTGCTCAAAAGAAGGCAATAGAAGATACATCCATCCCCACATAAACTCTGACTCCAGGTTTCTCTTTACTAGAGGAAACATGCATCCTGGTTTAATTACAAACACTCTTTTCCTTGGATGTATCGATTTTATGTTAACTGTTTTCATTTAGCCATACTATTTTAAAGGGAGAAAGAAAATTTATTGTTTAACCTAGTTGCAAGAGAGTTATTATTGTGATTACTTATAGTGTGATAGTGTAATATTTGCATTCAGACTCTATTCATAGTTTTCATGTAAAAATAAAGTTACAAATAAAGGACTCTGTTTAATCAAGCTTCCAAGTAGTACACAGTACATAATTACTTAAGAGCCCGGTAATGATAGCAACCATAAATAATACTTAATGACACTAAAACCTGTTACAGCATCAGTTGCTCCAGATGGATTATAGATTTCTCAGGACCATAATATCACAATATAAAGGTATATGAATAAGTTTAGGAAAGAAAGCAATCTGTATCAGTCTATCTATGTCAAACCTTAATCTTAATAAACTTTTCTTCCGTGGCAACAAGTAGTATTTCCTAATTATAGGTAACCAGAATTTTAAGTTGCTTTGATTTACTATAATTTTTAGCCATTATTATTAAGAGAGAATATGGAGCTCTGGTTGTGTAATGGTTAAGAGTTCGACTGCTGACCAGAAGGTAGGCAGTTCGAATCCACCAGCCACTCCTTGGAAACCCTATGGTGCAGTTCTGGTCTCTCCTGTAGGGTTGCTGTGAGTTGGAATCAACTCGAGGGCAACGGGTAATGTATTCACACTATAAATTCTGTCATTGGATAAGTTAAGTTCTTATTGAATGATTGCTTCATAGCTCTCTCAATGAGGAAATAGTTGAAATGTTTTGATGGTTTTTTATCTTAATATTTTACCGTATTAAGGTGCAGTATATCCCACAGATGTGGAGGAGTTAACAAAGGTCTATTACAGTATAGCGATGCTTCCCGGAAGCAGAGTCCACTGGCAACTTGTTTTCAGATGTGATACTTTGTTTTTATGAACTGGCCCATATTTAAGTCCAGTTCTGTAATGTTTAAAATGTCCCAAGCATACAAACATGCTATAATTTATATAATAATTTACAGTTTGGAATTACTTTTCCATCATATAATCATCATAGCAGTCCCACTAGGTATTTATTAAACTCACACTTAGAGATGAGAACACTCAGTTAACCCCTGGTGTGCACTTTATGTAAGCTCGCCATCATGGTTTGAGGGGTGTGTAAACTCAGCATATAACTCATTATTCTATCCTTGGCTGTCAGTGATTGAGTCCAGGCATTGCCCGGGACTCTGCATGTTATTTTAATAATCCTCACAAGAGTGTGTCTCAATAGGTATGATTGTTCTCATTTCAGAGATAAGGAATCTAAAGGTATAAAGGTGGTTGGCAGAGTGGGAGAAGTATGGGAGGTGGTTAATAATAGTTCACATTTAGGGTCAGGCTGCCTGGGTTTTTATCTAGGCCCTACCACTTAAAGCTTTGTGACCTTGGGAAAGTTTCTTAACCTCCCTAAGACTCAGTTTCCTAGTCTATTAAAAACAGTGATGCCAGTCTCATAGGACTATTTTGAAGATTAAGTAAGATGTAAAATGCTTGGCATACAACGTGTGCTTAGTAAGTATCACATCTTATTACTAAGCAGTTTATTCAAGGTCACACAGATGGTAGGAGGTAGTGCTTGTGGCAGTATCTCATGTCACTTTCTTACTTTCTAATCAAGGGAAACAATGGATAGGATAGTGGTAACTAATGGTGCAGTGGTTAAGTGTTCAGCTGCTAACCAAAAGGTTGGCAGTTCGAATCCACCAGCTGCCCCTTGGAAACCCTATTAGGCAGTTCTCCTCTGTCCTGTAGGATCTCTATGAGTTGAAATCGACTCAATGGCAACAAGTATACAGGTAGTTATTTTAAAAAGGGAGAGATAGTAGGTATGAGATGAACAAATAGAGGGAAAGTTTGATAAAAGAGTAAAAATTACGTGTCTGGATAGAGAGTACAGGGCATTAAATAAGTTTTCCAAAAAGTCACGTTAGTATTTTTTTTTAGATGGAAACAAGAAGGGAGTGTGCCCTTCCTGGACTTATCTTTGCATGGTATTTACTTAAATCCTTTACCAGTGATTAACCTTAAACATGAGAACAACAAAGATATTTATTTACTTTGGTAGACCACTCCAGTGATCATTCTGCACTTTTCCTGCTTAAGCATAGTTATCCATATTAAATAGTCTTTCCTACGTTTAGAGTTATGAACGTTGTTTAGAGAGAATTTGTTTTTATTCTTCCTCACCTTCAAATCCTCATTTTTAATTACATTCCATTTTGGTACTTAATATTTTTTAGATTCTTTTTTAGTTCTTTATTTCTGTAGCTTGTATGCTCTGTGGAAGCCCTGGTGGCGTAGTTTTAAGAACTATAGCTGCTAACCAAAAGATCAGCAGTTCTAATCCACCAGGTGCTCCTTGGAAACTGTATGGGGCAGTTCTCTGTCCTGTAGGGTCGCTATGAGTTGGAATCGACTCAATGGCAATGGGTTTGGTTTTGGTTTTTATATGCTCTGTGTAAAGGCAGGACCTGTCTACTGTCTAATTACATTGGCTGATACCCCCACTACACACCGAGGAACAAGTCATAAATCACTCTGAGATGGCTGATCTCTTTCATTTCTTTTTCAACTTCACAGTGGTCAGCAGTTAACCCTTGATGTTTATCTGTGTTCTGCTACCAGTGACTAGTTGGAACTGGCATCAATCCCATTGATTAAAATTAACTTTAAAAGATTCTTAACATGATTTAAATTGGGCATTTTAAATTTGACATTGATATTGTCTACAAAGTAAATCATCTATTTTTAGGCCTGCTTTGCTTCTTTCATAATATAAGGATTTTGGTTTGGGTTTTATTTTTTTTTTAACAACAAGTATTATGTGGTGTAACTCTTAAATTGTGCTTCATACTGGAGCTTTTGGAAAAGGAGCAGAGTATAGTTAACTCTTACGTTGTGAGACTTTAGTATATCCAAGCACATTTAGCCATGAGAAAGCAAGCAAAAAAAAAAAAAAAATCTTGCAGACTAGAAATGGAGGAAAGGTCATTTTCTCTTCTGTCTTTCAAGGAGAGAATATTAAGCCTTTCCTTTGGTCTTAATTAACTGTTAGGTCAATTAATTTAGCTTAAATTATTTTTTATCCTAAGGAAGTCTGTTCTCTGGCCTTTTCAAATTGTACATTCACAGCCAAGCATTTGGCCTCTTCTTTAGTGGTGAGGCACATGCTGAATTTCACTTCCCTGCATTGAGAAAAACAGTGATGATTTACCAGCAAATATACTTCAAACATTTAAAAGTTTGACATGTGATGGTTTGCTCAAACTGAGGGAAAATCTGAGCCAGATAATTCAGTTCACATAAAAACTTATTGAAATAGGAAGTCTTAAAAGGAAAGCCAAAATCAGTTTAGTGGTTTTTCTTATTTAAATATTAAGTTTAAAATAGATCAGAAAAAATAGAAAGACTGTAATAGTGTCTAAAAGGATTAGACTTTATAACAAGGCAATTCACAGGCTGTAGGAAATACTGCAAATAATTAAAGCTACCATTTATTGAACTGCCGTTGAGCCAGTATGTACCATATCAACCCTGCAGAATGGGTTTTTTTTGTTTTTTGCTTTAATCACCACTTCACATATTAGGAAACAGGTCAAATTGCTCAAACATTTAGTAAACGGCAGAGCTGAGATTTGAACCCAGTTCCATCAGATACCAACATCTACAGGCTTACAAATGAAATAGTGTTTGTGAGTGTGTAATAAAATGCTAAACAAATGGTACCTATTATTTCCATTTCACTGTATTGTCTTCCAGACCATAAATATATTGCATTAATAACTTTCTATCTCCAATAGTAAGCATAATAGGTGATAACAAGAACCATCCACCCTCCCATCAGACTTTTCTTCACATATACAATCCACAAGCAGTTAGAAGATATAATGAAGGAGAAGCCACCTTATAAAATATAAAAAACCAAAACCAAACCTGTTGCTGTTGCGTCGATTCTAACTCATAACGACCCTGAGTCAGAACTGCACCAGGTTTCCAAGGAGTGACTGGTGGATTCAGACTGCCTACCCTTTGGTTAGCAGCCAATCTCTTGACCACTGTGCCACCAGGGCTCCTTACAAGATATAGTACTTAGGAATAAACATAAGAAGAAATGTGCAAATCTTTTTTGTGGACAACTTGAAAACACTCTAGAAGAGAAAAAAAAGACAAACAAGTAGAAAGGCATACGTGTTCTTGGATAGGATGATTCAGCAACACTAAAGATGTCAATTCTCCCTGTTAAATTTGTAAATTTAACATGATGTTAACACCTAACAGCTCTCTCCCATTCCCCTTCCTCCCCCCCCCCCCCAGAAAAAAATAGAAGACAAGAGGATTCTAAACTTTTCGGAACTATGTCTGGAGATAGTTGATTCTTTCCCCTCCCCCACTAGCTCATCAATGTGTAGATATATATTGATGTTGAAATTATTTTTATAGATGTACATTCTGAGGAAACTTATTCTCATAAGTAGGTAAGGATGGAGGGAGTGTTTATAGCAGTGCCATGCAGTTCTTTGAAACTCCTAAGTTATTTGGCAAAAGCATGTAGTGAGCTTATAAAAAATTAATTTTTACAGTCTGTCACCTGACAACTTGATTAGCTCCTCCTTCAGTATTATTAGCATAGAATTAGAAACTATCCCGCTGGCAAAAGAATTCTTCACATATTTCATTATAATACCACTTTTCCAAATTGTCTCTTTGTTTGGTATACGGAAGTTTTCCAATATAACCTTTTAGAATTGCTTATTTAGAATCTATATACCATATCACTGTTTTTTTGCCCTTTTCCCACAGTTGCGTTAAAATCCTCCCCACCTGACAGAAACGGAGGCCAGGATAACTGTAGAACAAAACTCAGAGAAGGCCTGAACTTCCAAGAAGGAGAGTTCTTATTACAGGTAAATTTTAGTAAATGTAGTTCCTATAATAAGGAGAAATTCCTTTCCTTGTCTTTTAGCATGCACCAGTGAGTTTATTAGAATGCACTACATTTGTTTCACTATTTAAAAATGCATGATGCTGTGCAAAATAATATGAATGTGATCAATGGATAGTATTGCCTAGGGAAAAAAAATATTTTCAGGATGAAAAAATACCACAATGAGTATATACTGTTACTGCCAACTAAAATTTAAGAGTATTCAATTTGGAGGTGTTAAATAATGATTCAGTATTTGAGTTTCTGGTGGGTGCCAACATCATTTTTAGTCCTGAGATTACCAGTGAAGTATAAAATATACAATCCACAATCAAGGACCTTAGAAACCAGTTTGGATTAAAAGAGTTACAGCCAGCCATGCAACAATTAGTGATCAATAACATATCATGAGAGTTAAGTGGGCAAGCTTTGGAGCCAGACTGACTTTACCTCCTGACTCAGCTTTTTCCCAACTCTGTAGCTATACAGTTACTGTGAGTTCTTTACTTCAGTTTCCTCTTTTGTAAAACTGAAATTTGGTGACTACTTCATAGGATTGTTGGGAGAATTAAACCACTTTACATAAAAACTGCCCATTTACTAGTAGGTGCTATTGTCTTTCTAATTAAGTTCTCAGAAATATAATATAGAGCAAGGATCTTGAAGCTGAAATGAATTGGAGTGAAAAAGGAGACCATCAGTGAATTTCATTACATCATCTGAAAATGAGGGTATCCGCTAGACTATGTGAGCAACATTAAGCACGGGAACAGTGTCTTGTTAACTCTTGAATCCCAGGACGTAGTTACGTGTCCTATTTAATGTGAAGTAGTTAATTATATATTTAATAAGTTACTATCATGTATATAGCTGTTCATAGTTGTCCGAGCACGTTCATATAAATCCTTCTTTACTTATTTCCACAAACTTATAACAGTGACACCTTACATTAATTGAGTGCCAACTATGTGCCAAGCACTGAATTAGATGAGATATATTCATCATATCTACCTGATAAAGTGCCTGTTTTTTAAATGACACTAAAGTTTGAAGGGGTGAATAACTAAAGCCACAGAGCGAGTAAGAGACAGAGGCAGAGTCTGTTACTCTATCTTGAGATAGAGATAGAGATGGAGGCTCTTCTAGATCTGACTCCAAACTGTGTGATTTTTAAGTAAACCATACCATATCTCCATTTACGTGAAAAAATAGTCAGAAGGGATTAACCATAGCAAGTAAAAGACCAAGTACCAAATTGAACTTAAGCAGGAAACTGTGATACCTTAAATATGTAATTGTAGAATTAATATATGATAACCATAAACCTTAAAGTAATCTGAGGTATTTTTGTTATCCAATAGGAAAGTAAGAGATATTAGTTAACACTGGACTTAAATAATCACAAAGAATAGGAAAAGGGGTATAACTTCCAAACTAAAAGAAAGAAAAAAAATGGAAAAATAATTGGCCCAAAGCAAGCAAGAAGGGAGACAAAAAAGAAACATAGTACAGATGGAAAGCACAAAATAAAATAGAAAGCATGTAATAAAATGATAGATTTGAACCTAAATATATTTGGTAATTACATTAAATTCAAGCACACTTGTATATTTGTTTTATATGTGTATTATATTTGTATTACATGTGTATTTATGTGTATTACATATATATTGTACTATGGTTTTCAATAAAAAGTTTTTAAATATCTTACAATATTTTAAGAATATTTAAATTTTAAATTGCATTGATGCTTGAAATGTCTTTGCCCAAAAAGATTTTTCCTATCTGGATTTCTCTGTCAGAGGTTATCAGCCAGCACCTTTATACACTATCTACTTCTATAAAGCAATATGGCAGATTACAGTAAATGATGTCTGTGTAGTTTATGTGTTAAAATGTTTACAGTATTTTTAAAACAGAAAATGTGAAACATGAGGAAGGGAGGGAACAAATATTAAGGTTATTGTGATTGAGCATTAAATTTAGCTGTAAGCTTTTCCTTACCCAAATCAAAAGGAATGAAAAAATTCCTCTCATTCCAAGGTTGTTTGGTATGTTAATGAAGTGTAAAAATTTTAACCATTTTGAAGAGGTTTTCAGAGACAAAAATAACAGCCTTATCTGACAGATATTTTTGAATAACAATATTGTCATTAAGTCACATCACTAATTTTATAACTTTTTTTCCCTGTAGGCTCTGAATGGATTTGTATTGGTCGTCACTGTAGATGCTTTGATCTTTTATGCTTCACCTACTATACAAGATTACCTGGGGTTTCAGCAGGTATGTTTATTTTTATTACATCATTAGAAACCAAAGTTTTTAGAAAATTAACTTTCTACTTTTTATGCATTTTATAATTTAGGGACACAGTTGAAATTTTGTTTATATGTAGAAAGTATCAGTTCAAATATATATACTGTAGAAGAAAAATAATATTTCTAGAAAGAAAAAGTATTTTTTTCTAATATTAGTAATTTATTACATTATAATTCCTTTAAATGTTTATATGATTTATGGATATTGTACTTCTTTCACTTATTAATCATCTCCTGTGTATGAGAAGGAGCCCTGGTGGCACAGTGGTTAAGAGCTCAGCTGCTAACCTAAAGGTCAGCAGTTCGAATCTACTAGCTGCTCCTTGGAAACCCTATGGGGCAGTTCTACTCTGTCCTGTAGGGTTGCTATGAGTCGGAATCGACTCGACGGCAGTGGGTTTTGGGTATGTATAAGAAACTGTTTCAGGCAAGGGGTAGATAGGGTTGGGAGGACAGATGAAACTATTTACCATCAAATAATTTGTGGATAGTCAAGGACATATGAAAATTATGAAGTGAATCAAGTGCCATGTAAAGGTACAAAAAAATACTATGGCTTCTACCTTTAATTCTGACTCATATGGATTATAGAAGGTTTCCTCAAGGGCATAGTATTTAAGCAAATGTAAAGAATGTATAGGATTCATATGATGGATAATTGAGGAGGGCCCAGAGGAAGGAAAAGATTTATAAGTACTGTACGACCACTGCGCCACCAGGGCTCCGTCTCATGCGTAGGAGATGATTAATAAGTGAGGTTGTTGAAGAAGGCAGATGTGTCTGGTTTGCTGAGTGTTACTGAATGAATGGTGAATAAATGGAGTTGTAAAGCTTTTGGCATATTTGAGGGACAAGAGTATCAGATATGATTCTAAGTACACTTGAATGCTAACTATTTTTATCTACCAGCAGTTCCCAAAATTTAATGTGCCTACGGGTCACCTGTAGAGCTTACTAAAATCTCGAAGCCTCATTCCTGGAGACTTTGTTTCAGTCAGAGTAAACCAAACCAAACCAAACCTGTTGCCGTTGAGTCCAGTCCGACTCATAGTGACCCTATAGGACAGAGCAGAACTGCCCTATAGGGTTTCCGAGGCTGTAATATTTATAGAAGCAGACTGCCACATCTTTCTCCTGCAAAGCGACTGGTAGGTTCAAACCTGACCTTTCAGTTAGCAGCCAAGCCATTAACTACTGCACCAGGAGGACTCCTTCAGTCACGGTAAAAGAAACCCATTGCTGTCAAGTCTGACTCATAGTGACCCTATAGGACAGAGTAGAACTGCCTCTTAAGGTTTCCAAGGAGCAGCTGGTGGATTCAAACTGCTGACCTTTTGCTTAGCAGCCCAAGCTCTTAACTGCTATGCCACCAGGGCTCCAGTCAGGATAGGAGCAATGAAATTGCATTTGTAACCATCTCACAGGAGATGCAGAGGCTGCTGGTTTGAATAACACTGTTATATGAATGTAAGTTTAGACTATATTATATACACAATGTAAGCCAATAAAGATTTTTGTAAAAGAAAATGTTTATGCTCCAACCTATGTTTCAAATGGTAACTCTAGCAATAGTATAATGGATGGAATAAAGATGGTTTAAATGCCAGAACATTAAGCTCTTAGGGAGGCTTTTGGCACAAAGCTTAAATTTCATTTTTCCTGCATTTCAAAGAAAATATATTAATATTCATAGAAAAGCCTGTTTGGAACTTCACGAATTGTATAACTATCTTAATTATGATTTGATATTATGATTCATATCAGTTAAGAAAATCAAAGAGATTAGCCATTTTCCAAACTATTTTTTTCTCACATAGCTTGGATATTCTTTAAGAAGACATTCCTGTCTGGCATGGGTGGTGGTTTAAGGCACCATTTTTAAAACTGCGAGTTGTGACCAGTTACTGGGTAATGAATTTGATACAGTGGATCACTATCAATCTTTTTCTTTAATTGCTTAGAATTTAATAAACTAAAATAATATAGAATACACAGTATCATCACACATAATCAATGTGTTTTTATGAAACTCTTTTCCATGTATGTATGTGTGTTTGTGTGGGCGTGCACATGCATGCGCTCTTACCATGAGTTGCAGTTAAAAAAAAGTTAGAAAAACACTGGTTCAAGTTCTACAGGCTGAGCGCTGTAGTAAATGCAGAGGGCCAAGAAGTCAGGGAGGGATTCTGACATGGTGAAGGCACGATCCCTTGCCCTTACGAAGTCTACTTGGAGGTGAAAATTTAATACAAAGAAAAGTATTAGAGAGCAGTGAAGAAAATTCATAATGCAAGCTATTAAACTTAGAGAAGTCAAAGAGGACTGGGTATTCAGGAAGGGTTTCATGGAAGAGGTATAGGATAAATAGATAAGAAATAAGCAGAACTTAATATGCTGCATTTAAGGAATGGGGAGGTAGCTATCTGAACCTTAGCATTCATGTTAGGAAGTGATGGAAATTTGTCTTACCAATTACAATGCAAATCTCTTTTTCTAGCTTTTCTTATGTTGGGTGACGAGAGAGCTTTGGCAATCGTTTGATTTGCATTTATCTTCACTAACAAACATCTACTAATCTAGACAAGTTTTGAAATTATATTAGTATTTTTTTTAATTCAGTACTTGTATTTTCTTTCATCTTTTTTTATTTAGTCTGATGTTATACATCAGAGTGTGTACGAATTTATCCATACTGAAGACCGTGCTGAATTTCAGCGTCAACTACACTGGGCATTAAACCCTTCACAGTGTACAGACTCTGGACAAAGACTTGATGGTAAGGATGTTTATCAAAACATAGCCTTGTTGATTTTTTAATATAATTCTGTTAAGGGAGGCAGTGAACCTTTGGTGGTGGTGTTACTTGCCTTTGGGTTGATTCCGACTAATGGTGACCCCAGGTGTGCAGAGTAGAGCTGTTCTATAGGGTTGTCAAGGCTGTGACCTTTCAGAAGCAGATCACCAGGCCTGTCTTCTGAGACACCTCTGAATGGATTTGAACTGCCAGCCTGCTGGCTAGTAGTCAAGCGCTTAACCACTTGCACCACCCAGGGACTCCATCCCACTTTGCCGTCGAATATATTCCAACTCACAGCGACCCTATAGGACAGAGTAGAATTGTCCCATAGGGTTTCCAAGGCTGTAATCTTTATGGTAGCAGACTGCTACATCTTTCTCCCATGGTGTGGCTCGTGAGTTCAAACTGCCAACCTTTTGGTTAGCAGCCAAGCGCTTAACCACTGCGGTACCAAAGCTCATTAGGGACTCCATTAGGGGAGTACAACTCTATGGCAAAGTTAGGGGAGGAATGGAAATACGTGAGTCTGTAGTTCTAGGCCTCAGCCAGGCTACAAGATCTAGATGAGCTGAGGAATGTTTTGGCAGATGAGAGCCATTAATGACTTTCAAGCAAGAGTACTGCCACAATAGGTAATAAGGTAACAACTCTGTTCTCATTGTGAAAGATGGAAGGAATGTACAAGATTGACACAGGAGTGTGTGTAAATTACTCTGTGTTTAAAATGCACCAAATAAAAAAGTAAAACAGCATTTTCAAGTATAAAAAAGCTTTTCTCAATAGAAGCAGTTTTCCAGAAGTTTGTGACAGTGTTAAAAAGAAAAGGCATTAGAAAATATGAAAATTGTTAATAGTGATAACTCAATAAAAATAAAAAGTAGGTAAAGTTCTGTGTAGTAAAAGTGACATTCAATAAGTTTTCGGTTTCTTTTCATTAGCCTCTCTTCTGAAAATGACTATTTTTTCTTGAACTTTTTTTTTCTTGCTTTAACAGCAATGTCTGGAGAAAGTTAAGGACCAGAAAGTTAGTAGTTTTTTGCTCCCTCCCCCGTTCCTTGCACCATAGACAGCTGCTTTCAAGGTGAAACGGCCTATTTTTTACCTGTCCTTCTTCCCTTTTCCTTTTGTGCTTAAATAGACTTTAGATTATTCAAGAGGATTGAATTGACCCTATGGTATGAATTTTTACTGATCCCATATGCTAACTAACTGTGTCTTATCCTTAATTCACTTGTAAGAGATAAGATCTCCACATATACATGCTAAATACATAATATGTTTTAGATAACAAGTATCAAATGACTTAAAGATCTGTTTAACATTTTGCTCTTAAATACTTCTCCATTTTATAGTAGGCTACTTTTTAGAAGCAGACTTACTGCCCTCTCTTCACATCTTCTGTTACTACTGTTCCGGAAATGACTGTTTTTTTGTATTCAGAATACAGACTCCAGTTTAGAAATCAACACCAGTTTCAGCTATTCAAACACTAAACAATTAATTTTACGGTGAAATGGAAAGTAAATTTGTGTTGCTGTTATTTCTACAGAAGCTAATGGCCTTCCACAGCCAACAGTCTGTTATAACACAGACCAGATTCCTCCAGATAACTCTTCCTTTATGGAGAGGTGCTTCATATGCCGACTAAGGTGTCTGCTGGATAATTCATCTGGTTTTCTGGTAAGGTGCAAAAATCTTATGACATTAGCATTTAGTATTAAGTTATGAAAAATGAAAAAAGAAAAGTGAATTCCTTGATTCCAGTTTTCTTTGATTATCTTTGAGTTTATTTTTTAAAAGCTACTACCAAGGAATTCATCTGATTTTGGACCCTGGTGGCACAGTGGTTAAACCGATCGGCTGCTAGCTGAAGAGTCGGCAGTTTGAAACCACCAGTGGCTCCACAGGAGAAAGATGTGGCAGTCTGCTCCCCTAGAGACTTACAACCTTGGAAACCCTACGGGGTCACTATGAGTCAGAATTGATTCTGTGGCAGTGGGTTTTTTTTTTTTTAACCAGAGAATTCAGATTTTGATTATTTCCCATAACTCAAAAAACTCTGTCCTTTAGTTACAGTCCTTTGTATGTTGCTTACTCTTAGGACTTTTTAGGCATAAGATAAGAGAACTGTCTAGCCCTTCTATAGTAACAGGATGCTTACTGTCTTGGGATTTAATGCTCACTAGGCAGAAAAACTATCATAGCCTTTTCCACATGTCTGGAATAACTGCCATATAGAAGAATTATTGTATATTCATGGTTGCAGAATCATCATCTTGTATGAGATGTTTTTCTGGTTGCATAGTCTGAACACTTAGGTGGGATAACCATAGGGAGCAGCTTGGACAGGATACTCCGAGTGGAGGTGGTCCATCCTCGCAGTTGCCGTATTCTTACCACATCTTACTCCACCAGGTAGAGGAGGAGAGAATACAGAGCTCGTTGCATATTCTTCTTGTGAATTATCAGGAATTTGAAATGGATAATCAAATCTTAAACATTACCACACTGATTTTGGAGGTGGGATATGGGGGAGGGATTCTTTCTGAAGATAATTTTGCTGACCCAGAGTTAGAATTGTGCTTTCAGAAAGTGTTCCTGGCACTGACAATCAAAGAATATATTTCTGAGATTGAATTTCTATGTGTACTAAGGTCTTTTCTTTCTTGTGCTGCTGTCACATTGATACCAGAATCAGTCCTTGGCTTGATAATACTGTTTAAACGATCATGTTAATGTATAGATTGTCTCTGTTTCCTCTGTCTTCTAAAGTTACTCTATTTTCACTGTCACTGAGCTCTGCATTTTTTATGTGATTTCATAATGATTCAATTTAGTGTTTTAATAAAATTGTATTTTGGTCTCTATGTGGACAATTAGTACATGTACAACTCATGTATGTTTGAAAATTAATGTTTATTTGATGACTTTATCACTGTTCATTCCGGAAATATAGCAAGGCACTGTGCTAAGTGTTAGTGATAGGGCAGTTGGGAGCTCAGAAAATGATGTGAGTATTGCTGTTATGACCATTATTAAATTAGAAGCAGGGAGTGGCTCTCTTTTCTTATCAGTCCCTTTAGATAGTCCTCATACTACCTTTTGAGATATTCCTCATAGACCTATACTACCTCCCTCATGCTGCCTCAGACTGCCTCAAAAAACCTTAGTTATAATGGGCTTCCTGTGGAGAGAGGAGTGAAAGAAGGTAGCAGCTTTCAGCCTCAGAGATTTTGTCTCTGAATTATCAGGAACCCTAAAAATGGTCACAATTAAGTCTTTGAAGGAGGAACTTTTTAAAACTGTTAATTTTAATTAACTGTTTTTGGTTTGTTAAGGCAATGAATTTCCAGGGGAGGTTAAAGTATCTTCACGGACAGAACAAGAAAGGGAAAGATGGATCAATACTTCCACCTCAGTTGGCTTTGTTTGCAATAGCTACTCCACTTCAACCACCATCCATACTTGAAATCCGAACCAAAAATTTCATCTTTAGAACTAAACACAAGCTAGACTTTACGCCTACTGGTTGTGATGCCAAGTAAGTCAAACTTATTTAATCAAAGATACATTTTGTTGCAGGAAGTCTCTCTTAGGATGTAAAACATACAGTGTAGATTATAATACTGGTTATTGTTATATTCACTATTATTTAATATTATTTTAGTATAGCCCTTTAGAGTAAAATAATTCCATAAGGCTCACAAATCATATTATATTAGACAGTTTTTTTTACAATACTTTCTACAGTTTTCATACCATAAAGATAGTATACCTTAATAAGGCTCAGTTTCCTGATACCATTTATTCATTTGTTTGTTTTATATTTTTAAATTATACAAAATTTATTTTATTTTTAGCTCTAGAAGTTTCATCACTTTTTCAAAATTATGAAGTAGGACCTGTTATTAAACATTAATACCATGACCATAGTTTTTTCTGTTTTCTAATACGGGAATTCAGAGAAGTAATATGAAAAACTATGCAAAAGAAATGAAGCATAAACATTACAGATTTTTATGTACATAATTTGCTCTGTTAGATTCATCTTTGGCCACACTAATTTTTATGGTCTTTATTCAGGAGAACAAAACAGGCTAAAACTCTGATTTGCAGCCATAAGCAAAAGTGTTACATAGATACGGTTAAATTTTTCTACCTACTGATGTGAAATTCTGAATGTCAGGTAAAACATATTGCAGAAAGTAGCATATAACCAATGAATTTATCTTAGTTAAATTTTAATTTCATTCTTACTTTACCTTTTTTTAAAACAGAGGAAAAATTATTTTAGGATATACTGATGCAGAGCTGTGCATGAGAGGATCAGGATATCAATTTATTCATGCTGCTGATATGCTTTACTGTGCCGAGAACCATATCCGAAGTAAGTTGTAGTTCCTTACGAACATGACAAGAAAACAATGGCATATATTCTAGTACATGTTTCAAATTATAACAGAAGGTAATGTGTTGAAGGAAACTATTTGGATACACGTCTGATCAGTATCATAAAACCAGTAGCGAAAGTTATGCTCTTTATTCATTAACTGCTCCTCTACAGCTGGCACACAGGAATGTAAAACTTTAGTCGCTGCGAAAATGACCATTTTGGTCAACAAAGCTTTAGTTTCACCCAGAAATTTTTTTATGGCATCATTATTTAATTTATAACTTAATCTTAACATAGATTTAAACTTCCAAATTGTATAGTAATATTTTAAGCTATAGGAAAACATTCCCTTTCTGAAATGAAAAAAAAAAAAATTACCTAATTTTTTCTCCCAAACACCCACATTTTCTTGATAGTTTCATGTGTGACTAGAATTGTCTGATTGGTACTTAATCTTCTCTTTAATCTTTTTAAAAAATTTGACTGAAATAGGATAAAATCAACTGTTAGAACTGTTTTTGTGCATTTTAATATGCTATGGTAAAAAAATTGTCAAGATAATTCTCTTTATTGGAATAAAATATGTTTATATGTCTGAGGGACTTTGTTTCAGAGATTCTCTTTAATATTTTGACTTTGGGTTTGATAATTTAATTTTTTTATTGTATTTTAGTGATTAAGACTGGAGAGAGTGGCATGACAGTGTTCAGGCTTCTTACCAAAGAAAATCGATGGGCGTGGGTTCAGTCTAATGCACGCTTAGTTTATAAAAATGGAAGACCAGATTATATCATCGCAACTCAAAGACCTCTAACGTAAGAACAAAGACTTAAAATGTTTTGTAGTTTCATTTTTTTATTTTAGAACAGTTGGATTTATAAAGCCTTCTTAAATTAAAATTTAAAATATATTCTAAGAGATTTTCGTCTGGAAATAAATTTAAAAAGCTAAAATAATATGTATAGAAAGAAGAGGGAATGAATAGGTGAGAGACATTGAGAAGATCGAACTGACAGCAACTAAATATGTTGTTGCTGTTGTTAGCTGCCATCAGGTTGGCCCGACTCATGGCAGCCCTGTGCACAACAAAACAGAGTGCTGCCCAGTCCTGGGTCATCCCCATAATCGGCTGGGAATTGGACCGTTGTGATCCATAGAGTTTTCATTGGCTGACTTCTGGGAGTAAATCACCAGGCTTTTCATCTTAGTCCGTCTCCACTGAAACCTGTTCAGCATCATAGCAACACTCAAGCCTCCCCTGACAGACAGGTGGTGGCTGCACATGAGGTGCACTGGCCACAAATCCACATGGAAGGTGAAAATTCTACCGCTGAACCACCAATGCCTCAACTAAATACGCAGAGCTATAGAGGTAGAGGAGTCAAAGAAAGTTCCACGGTTTTATCTTGGGTGTATGAAGGAGCAACAAAATGCTAGTACCGTCTATAAAACATAAGGAAAATACAATATTCTTATTTAGAGTATTTTGCTAAGCACAGTAGTGACTTGTAAGATTTTCTTATATATTATGGAAATGAGCTGTTCGTCAAATAGTTGTATTGCAAATGAGTTCTCTTTCTCAGGAATGTTGATTTTTTGTATATGGCTTGAAGTAAGGATCCATGCTGATTTCCCCCCTTATATGGATATCCGGTTGACCAGTAACATTTATTGACAAGACCATTTATTGAAAAAGCCATCTTTCCCCCACTGCATTGCATTTCAATCAGTTATATATATGTTACAAATATTTTCTCTCCATTTTAGCTTGGTTTATAATTCTTTTGCTATACAACAGTTTTTAATTTTAATATTGTCAATTCTGCTCAACTTTTCTTTTATAACTTCTGAGTTTTATGTTTTATTTAGACATGCCTCTCCTACTTGGATTCTTAAATTTTTCTAGTTTGTTTTTATGTATTTAGATCTTTTTCCCACCAGGAATTTGTTTTTTCCATGATGTCAGGTAGGGATGTAACCTAAGTGTGGAATTAACTGCTGTACTGAGTTTTTGGACAGATTCTAAATAATTTAACTTTTTTTTTTTGGCCTAAAAAAAACAACTTATGGCAACAGTCATCAGGATATTTAGGCCAAAATAAAGCCCATGTTCTCTGCAGTGAAACTCAAACTGTAGTCTTTTCTTTTGCTTACTCTTTTTCTTTTCCTGCATGTGAAATATTTTAAAATGTTGATGATAGGAGAACTCTTCCTAATATATGCAAACTTTCTCGTACACAATTTTAGAGATGAAGAAGGAACGGAGCATTTACGAAAACGAAATATGAAGTTGCCGTTTATGTTTACCTCTGGAGAAGCTGTGATGTATGAGGTAGCCAGCCCTATTCCTCCCATGATGGATCCCTTACCAGTAAGGAATAAAAGCAGTGCTAGTGCAAAAGACTCAGCCACTAAATCAACTGCAGATAAGGATTCTGTCAATCCCAGTTCCCTCCTGGGTGCGATGATACGACAAGATGAGTCTATTTATCACTATCCAGCTTCAAATACTGTACCCTTTGAAAGAAACTTTTTAAACAGATCTATGAATGAATGCAGTAATTGGCAAGATAATATTACACCAATGGAAAATGATAATATCCTGAAACATGAGCAGATTAGTCAGTCTCAGGAAATGAACCTGATACTCTCTGGAGGGCATGCAGGGCTCTTTCCAGATAATAAAAATAGTGAGTTGTACAGCATGATGAAAAACCTAGGAATTGATTTTGAAGATATCAAACACATGCAGCAGAATGAGGAATTTTTCAGAGCTGACTTTTCTGGTGAGGATGACTTCAGAGACATTGACATGGCGGATGAAATCCTGACGTATGTCCAAGATTCTTTAAATGAATCTACCTTCATGTGTTCAGGTTACCAGCAGCAACAACCCATGGCCCTGAACTCAAGCTGTATGGTACAGGAACACCTACAGTTAGAACAACAGCAGCAGCTACAGCACCACCAAAAGCAAGGAGTGGAGCAGCAGCAACAACTGTGTCAGAAAATGAAGCATATGCAAGTTAATGGCATGTTTGCAAATTGGAACTCTAACCAGTCCGTGCCTTTTAGTTGTCCTCAGCAAGACCTACAACAGTATAATGTCTTTTCAGACTTACATGGGACCAATCGAGAATTTCCCTACAAATCTGAGATCAATATTATGCCTTATACACAGAACTTTATTCCTTGTAATCAGTCTGTATTACCACAACATTCCAAATGTACTCAGTTGGACTTTCCTATAGGGAATTTCGAACCATCCCCATACCCTAGTACATCTTCTAGTTTCGAAGGTTTTGTCCATTGTTTACAAGGTACTGAAAACCAAGAACATGGAATAAATCCACAGTCAACTGTAATGACTCCTCAGACATGTTATGCCGGGCCTGTGTCAATGCATCAGTGCCAGCCTGAAACTCAGCACACCCGCTTGGATCAGATGCAATACAATCCAGCAGTCCTAGGACCACCGACATTTCTAAATGAGGTAAGGGTTTTTATGAGTCCCTTTTAGGGACTCTTTTTACCTTATGAATAAATAGACATAGTTGTAAATGGGAGCCCAGGTAGCGCAGTGTTTAAGAGCTCGGCTGCCAACCAAAAGGTCGGCAGTTCGAATCCACCAACTATTGTAAATTTGTCAATAATTAGATTTTATAGTGTTCACGGGAGAACATTTCTCATTGTATCTGTGACTACTTTCTTTAAATAAGCCAGTAGTTTTCCACTAAGTTATTAATGTAAGTGTAATGTATTTACCTAAAACCTAAAGGAGAAATAAATCAAGGGCTAAAGTAATGAAAATGTCCTTAATGGATGGCCTCAGTTACCAGGTAAAATTAGTTTAGAGTAGGAAATTTGGTTTATCTCTCTTGATTTGTTAAAATCCATATGACCTTTTAAAAATTTGAAATTTTAAAAACACATTTACATTTTTAAACATGTTTTCTTCAAAGCTCAATTTTTTATATATGTTTGAAATAGGGTTAAAGTCAAATGTTGGCGTGCTTTCTTAGAATGCCTTTTTCCTAGAATATCACTGGAATTCAGTCATAGGCTCCTCAGTGTTCTCTACAATCTCTCCATGTTCTCTGGCAGGCCCTCATTTGATCCTTTAAGGTAGTTTTTTTTTTTTCTGGCATTCTTAAAAAAGACGGACTCCACTGGCTTTCTTTCATGCAAGTTAAGCTTGGTGCTGTATTTTTATTGTTTAAATGTGTCATCAGAACCCTTCTAACAGCAAGCACACTTTAAATAAATCTAAAAATACTATTCATGTTTTTTAAAAACGTTAACATAATGATGGTAGCTGCTCTCTGTGGCCACCTAGGAAAGTATATTTAAGTTTAGTTGCAAAACATATTGTGACTAAAATTAAGTTCATTGGTCCCTGTTTACTGTGTATTTTAAAAAAAGAAAAGAAAAAACCCATTGCCATCAAGTCAGTTCCGACTCATAGCGACCCTGTAGGACAGAGTAGAACTGCCCCATAGGGTTTCCAAGGAGCGCTTGGTGGATTCAAACGGCTGACCTTTTGATTAGCAGCTGAGCTCTTAACCACTGCACCACTAGGGCTTCTGCTCTGTATTAGAGTATAAGAATTAAAAAGGTGACATGAATCTTTACGGTTTTCCTGATGTTTTTCATACATTAAGTTTATGTGATCGTATATGAGCTTTTTAATAGAAAACGGTTTTTTTATTGTCATTCCTCACATCCTTCAAATATATTAAAAGTTAATATTCAATTACAGTCTGTCTTACATCATTGCTATGATGTAGACATGGGCACAGTGACTTAAGTCTTGAGTTACTTAATTTAAAATCATTTTGAAAGGGGTTTGCATTAGCATCATGTGAGTTCTTGACTGTATGTTGTCCCCCTCCTCACTTTGTATTGCTTCTTTATGAATAATAAGATAGTAAGAATTCTGTAGGCCTGCACATTCCACTAGGGAACCCACTAGTCACATGTAGCATTTGAGCACTTGAAATGTGGCTAGTCGAAATTGATATGTGTTGTAAATGTAAAATACACACCAGATTTCAGACAGATTTAAGACTTGTTGTTAGATACCGTCAAGTCAATTCTGACTCAGAACGATCCTGTGTACAACAGAATGAAACACTGCCTAGTCCTGCACCATCCTCGCAATTGGCTTAAGACTTAGTATGAAAAAAAAAATGTAAAATATCTCAACATTTATATATTGATTACATGTTGAAATGATAAAATTTTGGCTATATTGGGTTAAATAAAATACATTTACAAAATTAATATTACCTATTTTTACTGTTTTTTAATATGGCTACTAGAAAAATTAAAATTAAATATGTAGTTCACATTATATTCCTGTTGGACAACACGGTTCTAGACAGTGTATTTGAAGAGAATTACTGACTTGCATTGTGTTATGACTGTTGAGTTACTTGTTCAAAACCCATTATCTGGACAAATAATATTACCTTCCATTTGAAGACTCAACAAAGCTACCATTCATTGAAGAGCCAGATTATGTGATTTTTTACCATGCATTCAATATGTGTTTTGGAGAATATTTGAAGTAATCAACATTTTGATTACTGAAGCCTAATGTTACATAGACTTTAGAAAGGTTGAATTTATTTAAAGCAGTTAAGGACATGATTTTAATCTGTTTGAAAGTTTATACGACTTTAAATACTAAAATACAGAGGCTCCATGGGCTGTAAAATCCTACAGACTTCGTACTGCAGTGACTCTGACATGTATCTTCATATCCATCATTTCATTGTCCATCTGCTTGCCTCCCTCTCTTCCTTCCTTCCCTGCCTTTCTCTTTTTTTAACAGCAGTTATAGAAACCAGACTGTGTTCAGTGTAAGAAGGCACGAAAGTGTATTTTCTTTTGGTAAATTGAGTCTATAATTAGTATAATACTTTAGTGATATTTGTTTATTAAAAGTATATTGCATATAAGAAATTAAGTAAATTATACCTATAGTATAATATTTTAGAAATATTAAGAAACTCTTAGAAAATCAGAACTTATCTCTTTCAGAAAAGTTCTAGGTTATCTGCAGTTCCGTGTAGTTAATGCATTTCATCATACTGTTGTTTGGGGTTCAACCTGTTAGGGTGAGTTTTGGAAAGTTGGCATCTGTACCATACCAGGGCCCTGTAGTAATCCTGAATGTGATCAATTAATCACTACCCAGAAGTTGGCTGAGACAAGTTCTAGTCAAAGCAGACCTACTTAAAACAGAATATTTAACTATTATTCATGAATAGCACTCTTTACCCGTCAGTTCCTGTCCTACCAAAAACAACTCGTTGATCAAATATGCTCCTAACATATGGAATGCCGAATCTGAAGTGGAACAGTTGCATCACTTACTTGTATCACCTACAAGATTTCTTGTCAAATTAATGGAGAAACTAAAAGGTTATAAATGCAGCTGATACATACATACTCAGTATATCTTTACCAAATGAAGAATTTAAAATTTAACGGTAGTAAAGGAATTTGAAATTTAATAGTATACAAGAGTGAGATTTTAAAATTCTATTTTAACATATCATTTAATGGTTTATGATATTTGAAAAGATCTATTCTGATAAGTAGCATTGCTATTTTTGTTTTCATTTGCAGAATGGAGGAGTTTTAAATGAAACATATCCAGCTGAATTAAATAACACTCAGACTACCACTCATCTTCAGCCTCTTCATCATCCATCAGAAGCCGGACCTTTCCCTGATTTGACATCCAGTGGATTTCTGTAATTCCAAGCCCAGTTTTCACCCTGGTGTTTGGATGCTGCTTAAATTAGCTTGTGAAGGATTGCAGAGTAATAAAACTGTCAGTGTTGGGCAACAACAAGTTGTGATATGGTGGCATTGATGCACATTGTTCACATTGTTATTCTAAACCATACTTTAATTTGCATCTCTAGAAGAAGAGTTAAAAAATAAAAGAAAAATTTGTGTACTGCAGTCTTTAAAATATGCTGCCACAGAATAATGAGATACCATACTACCTTTCACATTATTCTGAGCCCCACAAAATATGCAAAACTTATTCAGAGGGATTTTAAGATTCTTTTAAATAAGAAAATTTTCTCTATTCCAATTATTTCTGTCGGAATAAAAATGAAATACTTCAGGTTTAGAACTTCTGGATTCTTATTAGTACATCAAATACAGAGTTTTAAAATTAAACTATTTTTTCCGTTTGTTAACTATACTTTTATTTCAGATGTTAAAATAGTGGTTTGGTGTTTTTATAAAAAACATAATCTTAATGCTTTTCTTCACTGTTAATCTAAGTGCCTCACAATTTTTTCTACCTATAATACTGTAAGATGTATATTTTATATAAAATATACTTTTTCTTTTTTAATTAAATTAATAACATTCATTTTATGCACAATTATTATTTGTATTTCTTAAAACCAATTATTTTTATTAATTCAGGCATGTTTTAACTGCACTACTCATTTCTTAGGTAAAGGGCAAATAATGATTGAAAAGATAATTATTATATAATCTAGTTGCTTCTAAACATTAAATGTTGCTATGTGCCTTATATGGAAAAAATTTGAAAGTAAAAAGTCCTGCCGAATTGCCCAATTATCTCTTAATTATTATTTAACTATTAAGATTAAAAAAAAACCATTGCCATCGAGTCAATTCCAACTCATAGCAACCCTATAGGACAGGGTAGAAATGTCCCATAGAGTTTCCAAGGACCTTTTGGTTAGCAGTTGTAGCTCTTAACCACTTCGCCATCAGGGCTCCAACTAGTAAGATCAAAAGAAACCCATTGCCATTGAGTCGATTCCGACTCATAGTGACTGTTAAGATAGTAGCACTCAGTGTTTCCTGAAGAAAAAAATGTACCACTATATACCTTTACTGGAATCTTTGCAGTGACAGTTGGATGTTGCATTGTGAACAGTCTTTTAAATGCAACCATGTTTGTTAAATTGCAATGAAGAGAAGCAGCTTTGTTTCTAGCTTCTTGATTAAATTAAGCAAAGCCATCCTTGTTAGTGTGTATAAATTGTCTTTAAATACTGTTCTAGATTTATAATCCTTTCAGATATATTATGTTGACTTCATAAATTCCTTTCTTTAAAACAGTGAGAACTATTTGTTTTTCTCATATTTGATGAGTGTTAAGATTGAAGATACCAATGTTTGGTGTAAAGTATTGTTATGAGTGAAATGAATGGTGCATTGTATAGTTTGTAGCAAACAAAATTATCTGTAAAATAATTTCAATCTTTCATTTAAAAGTAGTCCATACTTCTGTGTATGCACATAAATATGTTTGGTTTTATATATTTTACAGTGTCTTTTTAAGAAATCAAATAATAAATCCAACTGCTTTGAAAGTGGTATTAAGAAGAAGACAACCATGCAGCTCTTTTAACTTCAAACATTAGGTTGTTTCTATGGTATAATGACCTTTATTATCAATAAGGCAAAGTAATCACTATACCGACTTTACTGGAATCCCAAACTGAGATGTACTAATAAAGTACAACTTTCTTTTTTTTTTTTTTAAGTACCAGTGTGTGTAAAAGTGGCTTTAGGCAAAGTATCTATGTCAATACTGTACATTTGCAGTCAAAATTATCAATCTATAGAATCAATTTCAGTGTTGAAGAAAAACTATTGTCTAAAACATTTCATAATTTGTTTCCAGTGTGAGGTGTCACTAAAGATTTAGACCAGTGGTCTGTATTAATACTCCATTTTTACATTTAAAGCTTTCATTAAAAAATCTTCATATACACCATTCTTGTTAGTATCTTCCACATTATTGGATGAATTACGTTTAGTGAAAAATAGGCTTTGTAAATTGTGTGAGTATGATGACAGTTATACACTTACTATAAAATTAAGTTTCTAAAGCAATATTGTATATTTTTATCTATATAAAATAACTAAAATTTATCTAAGAATAATAAAATCACATTAAACCAAATACACCTTTGTCTGTATTTTAAGTTCCAAAGAAAGAAAGAATGCTTTATGTATTGCATTATTGAGGGATTTATTTTTATATGGTGTGCACTTCTAAGGATGTATATGTGTTCAATTTGAACTTTTTCTATATCTGATTGTTTTTAGAGTACAGGATTACCAATGCTCCAATTTATTATGAAGCTTTCAATCTTTACTATGCACAGACTAGTGTTTTTCAGTATTGCTCAATTTTAGGATAAATGTTTTCGTGGCTTTTTTCTTTCCTTCAGAATGTTATTGCTTACATATGCCATGCATACATTTTTGTTTGTTTAAAATACTGACTTTTAATTTCCATACTTATCAAATGGAATTATATACAATAGTATAATAAAGTTATCACCAAGTATGAAAAATATGTTTTAATGTAAACTGTTCTTTCTGATCCATATAAAGGAAGTCATCATTTATAGCATAATAGTAAAACTATGTTGGATAATCTATAATATTTAAGGATATGTTAAATCAGTAATTCATAAACTTCTTATATAAGTCTGCCCTAGTTATTTTGACCTTTACCTGAATATAAAATGTATACTTTCAGTAACTTCATATATCAAAATGTTTCTGAAATGGACTGTTCATTTAAATCTTCTATTATCAGTGTTATTACATATAATGGTGTTAGTATCTCAGATCAAGATCCAAACCACATTCTAATAAACCAATATTTTAAGCTTATTTGTGAGGAATTTTGAAAAGAGCGCTGGTTAGCTATATTATGTGCTTACCTGTTGCCATCAAGTCAATTCATATTTTGTGCTTAGGTTAGAAAAATTATTGTTCAAATCTAAGCTCTCTCTTTAATAAATGTAAGTGACACATATGCCTTTGGCCTTAAATTCTTACCTAGTTAACATTCACCAGTAATTCTGCAATTAGTTTAAAGAAAACATTCCAAGGAGAAAACAGTTCTCATTCCAGTAACAACCATTTTTACGCTAACTTTGTATTTGTCATCTACAGTTGTTGGATGTTTTTCTCAACAACCATATATAAACATAGCAAATTAGCATCATACTTAATTTTGAACATCTTAGATAACACTGAATCTTTTGTCTGTTTAAGAAATACATGAGATACTCTTTTAGTTACTTGGTCTGAAAAAATCAAGTAAAAATTTAGATAATCTGTGTCTGATCTCCACTTGCACTCTCGGCTTCTGCCCACATGAATGACTTCAGCTTGCCCCCTTTTCACCAACTGTACCACACTGTTCTAGGAATGTTAGCTACTGACAGGACTGGGTGATACTTCTCTAATTCTCTTTCACTGTCTACAAATGACCTTGCTTCAATGTTTTTACTTACAGAACTGAGACCATCAAAAATCCTTAACACATCCTAAGTGTCCTGTACCATCACCTCACATTACCACTGTCCTTGGTTTCTTACTCTTACCTCCACTATATGAGAAGGAAGGGTTCCTCTACTCTCTAAGGTTAACACTTGTGCCAAGGTTAACGAGATTCCAATTCTCATCCCCTTAGTTCTACATTTCCCTTCTCTAGAGTCTTTTCTCGTCATAGGCTTCCCTGTTGCGCACATTTCCTTCCATCCTGAAAAATAAAAATAAAAATAAATCACTTGTTCCAGTAGCTTTTTCTTTTTCTTTTTTTAATTGTTGTAATTAAATGAAGTTTACATTTCAAGTTAGTCTCCCATACAGAATTTTTTTTTTT